AGTCAAATTGCTAGGTTTTAAAATCACTTGAAATGAACCTTTTGTGTATGGTTAGACCACCAACTAGACATACAATTGAGTTTACTTGTTTCATTCTGTATTAGATTTTTAGGAATGTTTTTTCTATCTTTATTTATTTTGGGCTTCATAATTACACAGTTTCAAAGCCAAATGTACAAGCACATTGGAGAGGTCTAGTTTCTATTCCTGTGCCCTCCCTCCCCTGGTTGGCAACCATTTTTATGTTCCTTGTATATTGTTATCATCTCCTGTCCTTCTTAGATAAAATACATAAAACAAAACACATGCTTTTACATCATAATCGTTCTCATTTAACAATATTCTGAGATCATTCCATAGCAGAATATAGAAACAGTCATGACCACTGTTGCAGGTGTGTACAGTTGTGTAACTAACTGTCCCAGTCTCCTTATCCAGTTCCCTATTGATGGCCAATGAGCTGTTTCTAGTCTTGATGTCTTTCCCTTCTTTAATAGAAAATACATTAACCCTTAGCAGAGAGACTCAGAAAGGCAAAGGTAACTAAAAACCAAAAAAACAAATTTTGGAACGGGCAAGATATGTATAATTTCTCTGAGGAAAAAGAAAACAATCATGGATTGACTTGGTGACTCAGCTCTACAAAAGGACTTCAAAAAGTTTTTGGAAATTTTCCATTATCTTGTCCTTCTATTTTTCCATGTAATTTCCAAGAAACAGCTGCCAACATCCATTAGTAGAATGTTAATGTATAAAGTATGAATCTAGGAAAATTGGAAGTCATCAAAAATTAAATGGAATGCATAAAGATCCTATGCATTAATGATCTGAAATGGGCTGGTATTGGTCATTTAAAATCCAATAACCATATGGTTTACTATGGTGGGAATGCCAAATTGAAGAGGAATGGCATCACATTCATAGTCAAAAAGAACATTTTAAGATTTATCTTGAAGTACAATGCTATCTGTGATAGGATAATATACATATGCCTACCAGGAAGACTAGTTAATACCATTAATATTCGAATTTATGCAGCAACCAACATCACTAATGCCAGCGGTGATGAAATTGAAAAATTCTACCAACTTCTTCAGTCTGAAATTGATCAAATATACAGTCAAGATGCATTGATAATTACTGGTGATTGGCATTAGAAAGTTGGAAACAAAGAGGAAGGATTAGTATTTAGAAAATATGACTTTGGTGATAGAAACTATGCTGGAGATTGCATGATTCAATAACTTATTCATTGCAAATACCTTCTTTTCAAAAACATAAATGATAACTATACACATGGACCTCACCAGATGAAATACACAGGGATCAAATTAACTACATCTGTGGAAATAGACAATGGAGAAGTTCAATATCATCAGTCAAAACAAAACCAGGAGCTGACTGTGGAACAGACTGCCCATGCACATATTCAGGCTGAAGTTGAAGAAAATTCAAACAACTTCACAAGAGCCAAAATATGACCTTGAATATATCACACCTGGATTTAAAAACCATTTCAAGAACAGATTTGATGGATTAGACACTATTGACTGAAAATCAGGAGAGTTATGGGATGACATTAAGAACATCATACAGTAAAATGAAAGTAAAAGGTCATTTGAAAGACAGGAAAGAAAGAAAATACCACAATGAATGTCAAAAGAGATCTGAAACTTGTTCTGGAGCATAAAGCAACTGAAAGGAATGAGGAACCCAAAGAGCTGAACCAAACATTTCAAAGGGAGGCTCAGGAAGACACAGTAAATTATTAGGATAGATTGTGCAAAGACCTGGAGTTAGAACACCAAAAGAAGAACATGTTCAGTATTTCTCAAGTTGGAAGAACTGATGAAAATATCCAAGTCTCAGGTTTCAATATCAAAGGATTCCCCTGGCAAAATACTGAATGATGGAGAAAACATCAAAAGAAGACAGAAACAATACAGTCACTGTACTAAAAAGAATTGGTTGATGTTCAAAAGGTAGCATATGACCAAAAACAAATTATATTGAAGGAAGATGTCAAAGTTGCATGGAAGGCACAGGTGAAAAACAGGAATTGATGGAATACAAATTGAAACTGATGAAATGCTGGAGGCGCTCACTTATCTCTGCCAAGAAATTTGGAAGACAGTTACCTAGCCAACTGGTTGGAAGAGATCCATATTTGTGCCTATTCCAAAGAGAGGTGACCCAATGGAATGCGGAAATCATCAGACAATCTCTTTGATATCCCATGTGAGTAACGTTTTGCTAAAGGTATTACAGAAATGGCTGCAAGCATACATGGACAGAGAACTTTCAGAGGTACAAGTTGGATTCAGAAGAGGCTGTGGAATGAGGTGTATCATTGCTGATGTCCAATGGATCTTGGCTGAAAGCAGAGAATATCAGAAAGATT